AGGCTAAGGCAGGAGACTCGCTTGAGCCCAGGAGTTGGAGGTTGCTATGAGCTGTGATGCCATGGCACTCTACCCAGGGGGACAGCTTAAGGCTCCTGTCTCAAAAAACAAAAAAAAAATAGAAAGCCTTCCTAGACTACTCCCACCCACCCTATAGCCCAGGACAGCCACTGCTACTGCTCCTGCCCCAAGGAGGTGAGGGAAGTGTCTGCCTGGGTTGTGGCAAAAGCTATGTTTGCCTCCTCAGGGCCAGTTTATTATAGAGTTTCTGAGCCACTGTATCTCCTGCAGCTTGTGTGGGCCACCTCGAGCCAGCTGGGCTGTGGGCAGCATCTGTGCTCTGTGGGCCAGGCAGCCATGGAAGCTTTTGTCTGTGCCTACTACCCTGGGTAAGCCCCCCTGATGGCAGTGGGCCTGCTACTCCTGCTGGGCTGTCTGGGAGGTGGGAAGGGCTGCTTTTACTCAAGGTGAGATGTCCACCATGCTCCTGGAAGGTCCTTATCTCTTGGTGGGAGAGGGAAGAAGCAGAAAGGGAGAGTGTACTGAAGATTCTGGCCATACAGATGTGCCCAGCCAGTGGCATGACCCTAGTTTCAGAGAATTTGCTAAAGACTAGTTTGGAGGTCATCTTTTGTTTCCTAGGGAATTTCCCTGTTTTATCCAGCTCCCTGACTCTGTAGAAGGGCCCTTGGGTCAGGCAGCAAGGCCCACCCCGCCTTGCCCAAGGTCTGGCCCTTCTGGACCCTTGGTACTTGCTCCCATAGAGGCAACTGGGAGATCAATGGGAAGACGATCATCCCCTATAAGAAGGGCGCCTGGTGTTCCCTCTGCACAGCCAGGGTCTCTGGCTGCTTCAAAGCCTGGGACCATGAAGGGGGGCTCTGTGGTGAGTGCCCCACCCCACCTGCCACCTCCTGGGGCAACAGGCACATAAGGGCTTGGCCTAGTGATCCTGGGGTGGATGACAGCTTCTTGGGTGGCTGTCCAGGAAGCCCTGGCCCTCAGCACCCAGGGAGGTTCCTTCCTCATCTGACCAGAGGTTCCCAGGAACCCATGTCGAATGAGCTGCCGGAACCATGGACATCTTAATACCAGCACCTGCCACTGCCATTGCCCCCCAGGATACACAGGAAGATACTGCCAAGGTGAGGGGAACTAGAATTCCAGATCACCACTGCCCAGAGACCCAGTGCACAGACAGGTGGCCCGCGAGGGGTGAGGAGGGAGACCAAGCCCAGGCGTGTACACACCTGCTCATGTGGCATGTCCTGGGGCTGTTACACGAACTGGGAGTGCTTTGAGGGAGTCTCCAGTGTGTTGGGGTGCTGACCATGTCCTTGCTGATTGTGCACGCTGCATTTAAGGAGCACCAACTGTCTGCCAGACCCTGAACTGTGCAGGGGATTCAAAATGGACTCAGATTTGGCCCCTTGGGCTCTGGGATGGTGAGAGGAGGATGGAATTAAGAACCACAAGTGGGGCTCAGTGCCCGTAGCACAGTGGTTACGGTGCCAGCCACATGCACTGAAGCTGGTGGGTTCCAGCCCGCCTGGGCCAGGTAAAAAACAATGACAACTGCAGCAAGAAAATAGCCAGGCATTGCAGCAGGTGCCTATAGTCCCAACTATTTGGGAGGCTGAGGGAAGAGAATCGCTTAAGCCCAAGAGTTTGAGGTTGCTGTGAGCTGTGATGCTATGGCACTCTACCAAGGGTGATGTAGTAAGACTCTGTCTCAAAAAGAAAAAAAAAAAAAAAAGAACCAGAAATGGATTCTTGTCCCACTGACCCCACCCCCGACCCTACTATGTGAACATGACAGGTCACCTCCCAAACAATAGGGATCAAACTGAAGATACCAAGCATGGCAGCAGGTGGAAGGCTTGATGAGTTCTGTCTCTGAGAGGGGTGTCCTTGCTGTGGTTGGCATTTCTGAATGTGTAGGGGTCCAGGTGGCTGGGGGTGAGCACTCTGTCCCCTGCCCTGCCTTGGCAGTGCGGTGCAGCGTGCAGTGCGTGCATGGCCGGTTCCGTGAGGAGGAGTGCTCCTGCATCTGCCACGTGGGCTACGGGGGAGCCCAGTGTGCCAGTGAGTGCTGCCCCAGGCCCCCTTTGTAGGGCACAGCATCCCCTCCCACCTCCTCAGTCAATGACAGTCACATCTTAAGATCAGCTACAGTGAGGGGTTTTACAACACAGAAATTGGGAGATGCCATATACTGTGGATTTTGAGGGTGGGGGCGGGAGAGAGACCCTTGTTATGCATTAGCCAGCATACCACTGGCCCCCACCCACTCTCCAGTTTGGAGCAGGTGGCCAGAGGAAGGGATACTTTGAGCTTAGCTCCCTGGCAGGGTGGGAGTGACAATTCTGAGGCCCACACCCACTAACTCCGCACCCCCCACCCAGCCAAGGTGCACTTTCCCTTCCACACCTGTGACCTGAGGATCGATGGAGACTGCTTCATGGTGTCTTCAGAGGCAGACACCTACTACAGAGCCAAGATGAAATGCCAGGTGATGGCTGACCCCTGCCTTCTCTGGAAACCCCAGGGTCTCAAGTGAGGGTCTTTTTTGTTTTTTTTTTTTGAGACAGAGTCCCACTCTGTCACCCTGGGTAGAGTGCCAAGGCGTCATCATAGCTCACAGCAACTTTTAACTCTTGGACTCAAGTGATCCTCTTGCCTCAGTTTTTCTATGTTTAGTAGAGACCGGGTCTCACTGTTGTTCAGGCTGGTCTCCAACTCCTGAGCTCAAACCCTCCTTGACCTCCCAGAGTGCTAGGATTACAGGCGTGAGCCATTGCACCCAGACTCAAGTGAGGGTCTTAATGGAGGGGCCCTGGACTGACAGCTGGTTCCTTTGTCTACTCTGACCGGGCACTCTTCATTAGCATAAAGCAGGGGTCACAGACTCAGAGGCTCACGGAAGCTGAGAGGTCACCTAATGACCTGAGGGACCCAGAGACAAGGTCCCACCCAGCCTCAAGGGAGATGTCTGGCCTCAGCTCCAGCTGCTGGTTGCCACTCAAGAATATGAGCTCAGGGTGGCCAGAACTTGGAATTTCTCAAGAGAAGCAGAAATCGGCTCGGCGCCTGTGGCTCAAGTGGCTAAGGCGCCAGCCATGTACACCCAAGGTGGCGGGTTCGAATCCCCAGCCCGGGCCCGCCAAACAACAATAATGGCTGCAACCCAAAAATAGCCGGGCGTTGTGGCGGGCGCCTGTGGTCCCAGTTACTTGGGAGGCGGAGGCAGGAGACTTGCTTGAGCCCAGGAGTTGGAGGTTGCTGTGAGCTGAGATGCCACAGCACTCTACCCAGGGGGACAGCTTGAGGCTCCTGTCTCAAAAAAAAAAAAAAAAGAGAAGCAGAAATCCAGATTTTTCTTGGCATCTCTCAATTTAATAATGTTACTATTGATTTGAATGTATGTAAGACACTGTGCAGGTGAAACAAAACCTATCCCAGGGCAGGGCCCTGCTAGGGCTGGAGGCTGCTGGGGGGGGTCCTGTGCTCAGAGAAAAGAGAAGCAGGCAGGGGCGCGGAAGGGGGACCCCTACTCTTAGAAGCAGGATGCGGTCGGGGCTGGCGGTGACAAAGGCCTGGCCAGCACACACATTTGGCACCTATGGTAGGGGGATCAGCAGCAGGAAGGGCAGGAGGGGCTGGCATGAGCTCTGGGGGTCCTGCCAATCCAGTATGACTGGGGGTGGGGCTTACAGAGAAGAGGCGGGGTGCTGGCCCAGATTGAGAGCCAGAAAGTACAGGACATCCTGGCCTTCTACCTGGGCCGCCTGGAGACCACCAATGAGGTGACTGACAGCGACTTTGAGACCCGGAACTTCTGGATTGGTGAGTGGCTGGTTAGGGGTGCCATTGGTGCCCAGTCTTGATGCCTCACGTTGCCCCAGGAAGCATGGGCCATGTGGCAGCTCAGAGCAGCCACAGAGATGGCAAGGGCAGAGAGAATGGAGCCCAGGCGCGGGTCAGCAATCAGGCTGCTCTCCCCTCCCCTAGGGAGGGCTGAGGTAGAACTGCGGGTGGGGGGAACTGACACCACTGGGAGCAGGGCAGAACAGCAAGAGGGGCTCTGGGGTCTCAGGTGGGGGCCAACTTCAGCTATTCTGGCCCAGGACTCACCTATAAGACCACCAAGGATTCCTTCCGCTGGACCACCGGGGAGCACCAGGCCTTCACCAGTTTTGCCTTTGGACAGCCTGACAACCAGGGGTAAGTCCAAGGGCACACTCCCTCCCAGGCCTTTAGCCTCCACTGAGCAGCCTCCCTAGCCTGCTGCCTGGGTAGGCTCTCTACGAGCCTGGGCCTCGCTTGGTGCCCAAGACTGGGGAAGTGTGAGCACAGTGGGGGCTGGCACAGCACTGAGGTGAGGGAGATGCAAATCCTAAGGCCCATCACCTAGACAGGGATCTCAAAGAAGCTCCACCCATCTCCCTGTTCGCACTATCCCCCAGTGTGCCTCTACCCTCCATCTATCACCCCCACACCCTCTCCACCCGCATTGGTCCCCTGGCTCCAGCATTCCTTAGCCATCCACCCACCCACAACCATTCACACAACCACCAATCATCCTATACCAAGGACCTTCTGGCCATGTGGTCTTCAAAGCCCAGGAATGCCCAGGGTAGAGGTGGAGGTGGTCAGGTTGTGTAGCCACCAAGGTCTCCAGCTCTGTCGCCCAGCCCTACTTGCCTGGCACCTGGAGGAAGTCCTGGCCCAGTTGGGCTCCCAGGCGCACCTCCCTGCTGGGAGGGAAAGAGGCTGGCTTGTCTATCCCAGGTCCCCAACATCCCCCTTACCACCCACACTGGCTGCTGAGGCAAAGTGTGCAGTAGGGTAGCACCTGGAGGCAGAGATGGAGGCTCAGGGCAGGTCTGGCCCACAGACTCCTGATTTCATTCCTCCACCCTGTACATCCTGACATTCTGGCCAGCAGGTTTGGCAACTGTGTGGAGCTGCAGGCATCAGCCGCCTTCAACTGGAATGACCAACGCTGTAAAACCCGAAACCGTTACATCTGCCAGTTTGGTGAGGGCCTTCCTGGCTCTGTTCTCTGATCTCTGTCTCCTTAGGTACCATTAGCTTGTTCCAGGGTGCTAGGATATCTAGGTCACAGGTCCAGTGTATGTCTGAGCACACAGGGCCACTGAGGATACTCTGCTTGGGGTCTTCTACCTAAGGCCCAGCCAGAAAGGACAGGCCCAACATCACATGGCACATCCACGCAGAAGCAGGATGGAAGCCTCAGCCTAACAGCAGATTTCTCCAATGGCCCTCTCCTACCATGAAAGCTGCTACCTGGGTCCCTGTGGGGTCCTCTGTGTTTCCTGATTCCCTGGAGCCCAGTGAACTGTGCTGGAGGGCAAAGGTAGACCCAGCCCAGTATCACCTCCCAACAGCCCCTGCTAGAAGGGTCTGGAGATCCACATGGAACCTCAGCCATGGGAACTTCCAGACAGAGGGCAGACAGGTCCCCACCCCAGGATTGCCTGGGCTGCCACCAATGCGCAATCCCTTCTGTTTCCTTTCTAGCTCAGGAGCACATTTCCCGGTGGGACCCAGGACCCTGAGGCTTGGCCAGCACCTCCCCTGCTTGCCCCTGGCTACACCCACTTTGTTCGCCCGTTTGCCTACCTGTCTGGAACAAGGGCCAGGCCTGCCCAATGTTCAAAGAGGTCTCAGACCTGCGTGATGTAGAAAGGTGGGCAGAGGGTGGCGGGGAGGCCAGTGGGGGATGGGGAGGCAGAACCCCTGAAAGTTAGAAGAGCCCAGAGCCCCTTAGCCTGCTTTTGACTGGGAAGATGGCATCAATAGACAGACACTGAAGCAGAAGCCAGGGCAAGCAGTCAGAGGGGCTGTCCTTGAGTTTCCCAGCTGGATGCAGCCCACAAAAGATTAAACTAACTTATGAACAGTTGAGCTTGCAAATGGAATGCTTGTTGTGAAGGGGAATTCAGATGACTGAGGATGAACCTGAGAAGACCAAAGGAGACTTGAGGCGTCACTGCAGTTGCCTCTTACCTGCCTATTCCTTTCCCAGTCACCCTCCTGAACCAGGGCACCCCAGTTTTCAGGCTCTCCAGTAAGGTGGGAGACCAGACTCTGCCTCAGCAAGGCATCCTTTTCCATCAGTTTCCAAGTCTGGGCCCCAGGCAGGTAATGTAGAAACTGGTCTGAATGTCTGGCAAGTGATGTGTGTGTCTTGTCCCCACTGGTGGAGTGCTCTGTCACATCAGGGCTGACAGAATCTGTAGTTGTACTCCCTTGAGCAGCTCCTCAAATACTACAGCTGGAACTTTCATGTGTCAGACAAGTAATAAACATTTGGCATCTAGTAATTCACTTAAACCTTTCCACTTCCTCATTGACAAGCGAGAACTACCCCCAATTTACAGTTGAAGCAACTGGAGCCACAGAGAGGCTATCAGTCACACAGCTGCGAGTCAAACCCAGTGGGTCTGGCTGTCATTTAATCTTTCCATTTTCTTTTGCTGGTTCAGTCTGTTTAATCAGTGACCCAGGGAAAGCTCTTTTGTGCCCTGGCTCAGAGCGTGGGCACACGTCGGGCGTTCACACGGATGCCCCCAGCTATCTCCACCATCTGCAAAGGAGGGAGCCGGACCCCACATCACAACTCAGGCATTTATTTATTTATTTATTTAATGCCGTTTTTGGCCGGGGCCGGGTTTGAACCCACCACCCCCGGCATATGGGGCCGGCAACCCTATTTCTTGAGCCACAGGCGCCGCCCAACTCAGGCATTTGTTTGCTCAAGGTCTCCATTGAGGACCAGATCTCAGGCTTCTGGGCTGGCTTGCTCGCTTACTGCCTGAGCCATCCGGGGTGGTGGGGGGCGGGAGGGTGCCACAGGCATCGGCCTCAAAGCTTCCTATGGGACATGGGACACCGCCTCCCTCCAGGAGGAGACGCCGCGCGCGCCGGGAAATGCAGCCCTGCGCCGGAGCTGCTCGGCGGACCAGGGCTGGGCCCGGTGCATGCGCCCCGTGCACGCGCCCCGTGGGAGCCAGGCCCGCGCACGCGCAGCCCGCCCTTCCCCCCGCGGCCCCCGCCCCCTCCCGCCGCGCCGCGCGGCCGCCCTAAGCTCTTCCGCGGGTCGCCGGCGCTCGTCGAGAAGGTGGCCGGTTCCCCGGTGACCCCGCGGGCGGCGGTGAAGCTGCTGGGTACCCCGGAGGCGTGTCGGAGAAGTAAGTACGCTCTGCGTGCGACCGCCGGGGGAGAGGGGTGGCTCGGGCGCGACCCTCCCTAGCGGCCGACCCCAGACCCCCACCCCCGCGACCAGCTGAAGACCCGCCGCGCGTCGTGAGTGAGGTGTGCGCAGGTGTTCGTGAGGGCGGCGTCACCTCCCAAGTCCAAGCAGGTGTAGACACCAGGGCGGGGAGACCGGCCTCGGGCACCCCCCCTCTCCCCGGGCCTGCCTGCACGGAGCTGTGGCCCACTGTGGCGGGGCAGTTGGGCAGCCTCGGGCATGAGAGGCGAAGCTCCATGCCTCCCTGGAGCTTTTGACCCGCTGTTGGTTCCCTTGTCTCCCTCTCGTTCACATCTGCATGCCAGGCTGTGTCACTCAGGTAGTGTTGTCCAGGGCAGCCCTCACCCCCTCCCTCCCCGTCCTCCTGTGTTTTTCATTCATCCTGGCCCTTGTATTTCCTATACCCGACGATCCTAAGATGAAATACAGACTGAAATCAAAAGGTGTTGGTAAAAGAATCATGATTATTTGGGATATAGAAAGATTCTGCCCCTCACAGTGGGTCCCTAGAGTGAGTTCTGGAAAACTTACAAGGCCTGACTTAAAATATGTCTGTTTCTGGAGTTTTACCTGGGGAACTTATTTTTCCTGATATGGTAAAACTCTTCTAAGCCAGGGTGTGTATTCTCAGCAAAGTCTGTGAAAGTCCTTCCTTCACGTTTGATGGAGTGGGGAGGTGCACTAAACGTCTGTTCTGGGTTTCTTTTTGTTTGTTTGTTTTGAGACAGAGTCTCACTCTGTCCACCTGGGTAGAGTGCCCTGGTGTCATAGCTCACAGCAACCTCAAACATGAGGGCTGGAGCGATCCTCTTGCCTCCTGAGTCGCTGGGACACCCCGCTAATTTTTCTATTTTAGTAGAGAAAGGGTCTTGCTCTTGTTCAGGCTGGTCTTGAACTCCTGAGTTCTGGCATTCACCTGCCTCAGCCTCCCAGAGTGCTCTTTGGTTTCTTCCTTGGAAGAATCACAAGCAAGGCTAGTGTGAATGATTGATGGCAGATAGGAAGCAATTCCACATAATCTGTTATTGCGAAAAAGAAAGAAGCTATACTAGGTGAAAATATGTTCCAGGGAGATAAACGGTTGGTCTCCATGAGTGGTTTTGTTTTATTGGTCTGGTCCTGGGGAAAGCTTACAGGAGGTGTGGGATGTTACCAGATGATTGATATACATGATTGACAGATGTTCTATATTTGCCTGCAGTTCCTCCCCCTGATTGGTACCCACCCCCCTTCTCCACCCTAGGAGCCAGCCTGGGGCCTGCAGGCATCTGACTTGAGTCTAGAGAAAATGAGGGGTATGGTAAGGCACACAAGGCAAGGTCATCACAGGGTGGGTAATGAGGAAGGGGAGCCCAGGCTGACTGAGGACCTGACATCTTCATGACATGACTCCTCATGTCACCCTGGGCATTGGCATTCAGGTGGCCAACTTGGGAGGGTGGAAGGTCACTCAAAGGCTGGTACAGTCCACCCTGGAAGTCTTGTCCTTCCCCGCTATCTCCATGGGCCAAACCTCAGCCATGTAACACACCTAACTAACTGGAAGGGAATTTCTGTCACCGGGATCTGCAAAGTCACCAAGAGAATTGATTTGGCCAATAAGTGTAGCTCTGTGAGGGTGGGGGGCACCCATGTCTTACTTAATTTCCTATTTGGGCCTATTATAATAGTATCTGGTCTCCACATTTTGCTGTTTCCCAAATAAAGATCTTTCAAAATGTGAATCCGGCTTGGCGCCTGTGGCTCAAGCGGCTAAGGCGCCAGCCACATACACCTAAGGTGGCGGGTTTGAATCCCCAGCCCGGGCCCGCCAAACAACAATGATGGCTGCAACCAAAAAATGGCCAGGCGTTGTGG